GTTTTCAAATTCGGCAGGGTTTTTACGCAGCGCGGTCCTTGCCCTGGTGCTAGGAGGTGGGGTATTAAAAGCCGCCTTTCAAAAGTAAGGGCTTGTGGCTAAGATATTGCCCCCCCCAACCCCCAGATTTCCTTGATGGGTGGCTTGAATCGTCACTATTCTCTGGTCCGAAAGATTCAAGATTCACGGCGATGGTTCAGGTTTTAATCAATTGGAATTTTTATGGAGGTTACTCGGCTCGCCGCTTGCCTAGGGTCTGCAAAGAGTAGGGGATCACTTGCCCTTTATCTTGTTACTTGTTTGTTTTAGCGGGAGGTAAAGAAATCGGAAGGTAAAGAAATCCGTTTTTTGGTTTTTGTTTTAAATCTTACTTCTCAGAAAAGGAATGGGGGAAGGTTTTCTGATTCCTAGGAAAGTGGCCATCCTTGAATCTGGAAAGTGGGAAGCGTGTAGTAAGTAGTAGGTGGTAGAGGCAAGACTTCCAGCTACATTTTGTTCTGTCTGGCACGCCGAAGTTGAGCATTTAATTCTCATGAACCGTGCGAAAGTCGAATTTAAGCCAGATGAGGTAGGATTACCTAATTAAACGTGGGTTCTAAAGAAAGGAGGTTGGCCAAAATTGGTGCCTGCCTTCTCCGAGTACCTGTAACATTTGTTTATAGTCTCTGTAGAAGAAATGCAGGTGCGATTTCTGTTTATGTCAAGTGTTTGTACATTGTATACGATTTTATGTAATTTGGTAGTGCAGCTGCTGCAGAAGATTTTAAGTTACTTTTGTTTCCTACTGTGGGGCTGTCAGGTTATTTTATGGTAATGAACCAGCCTGTCAATCTAAAGTTTTAGGAGTCTGGATTCCTTTTATTTCCGACTAATCAGTATTTTTGTTGCCGCTTTCCAATAGCACAGTTAGTTGTAAATAATTGCCCCCATAAGTACTTAATTAAATCAAACTTTTCTTTTGGTGGTTTCCAGATCTTATTCCCAGACTTAGACGTGCCTCGTTGACAGGGGTTTCCACTACCTGTATGCAGTGGCCTTGTTCCCTTTTATTTTGACCTTTATTCCATCCCTTATTACGTGTTTGTGTTTCAGTTGTACAGAATTAGAGGGACTCTTAGAGATCATCCAGTTCAAGTTTGTATTGTAGAGGAGGAAACTGAGGCCCAGAGTAGCAAAGAGACTTGCTTGTTTAGGTCCGTTAATTAGTATCAAGACCAAAAATTTTAAAATGAATCATTGTCATCATAGGGAGTAGAATCCAGCTTTACTGGATCCCAGTTCAAGCTTAATCTTCCCCTCACATATCTCCAC